CACGAAATAGGTCACCAGAAACCCATAGTGAATCAGTTTCAAATGCGGGTTGAAACTGATTCATTTGAAACTGATTCATTTCCCACTATAGCCAATAAGGAGGTGTTGTATCTGGCAAATAATGGGCAGATTAATAGAAAGTAATAGAGAATGAATAAATACACATAACCATCTCTTATCACTTAAAGAATATGTTTACTTCCAAACAAAGATTTGAGCTTCATCAATAGAAATGAATCTTTCTCCACATTAGTAGTTAACAGAGCATCTGGCTTGGAGTAAGTCTGAGGGAGTTTGTGAAATGAAGAAGGAAGTAGGGATTGTGATGAACTTGTCTGTGAAATACACACAGGCACATGCTGGAAACTATTTCTTGAGAAGCTGATATGTGCTTCTAAGAATCAGGTGAATTCATTTCAACTATATATAATTTACTTCATTTATAGATATGACACAGTCTGATCTGAATTGTTAATAATTCTTTCATGAAACTAATTTGAAATCTAACTTTGGCATATTTAAAAGCCAAAAGAGCAACAGACTTCTCTTGGTCACATTCTTCTTAGTTTGACCTATCTGCTGATACGGGCTATTTAGAGTATACTCTTATACGTTGCAAATTCCTATGAACCAACAGACAGCTGCATTTTGCAGACTTTCAGAAAGATGAATTTAGGTACTAAGTAAAAACAGACTAACTGAACTATAACACTGGACACTTCAGCACTTCTCTGTTTGAAAATAAATGAGTGTTTCTGAACCATTACTGAGCCCAATAATGATGACAAGCAATAAAAACCGACACAAAATAGGTCACCAGAAACCCATAGTGAATCAGTTTCAAATGTGGGTCCATGTAGCCAGTGCAGAGTGCAGAGATATTCACTTTCTTTTCTCATATGGTACATGAAAAACTGCATAGAAAACTAAGCCCCAGTCATATTTCTTACTGGTCAACTAAGTAAGATGGAAGCAGTATGATGTAAAAGAATAGACATGGCAATTTCTAATTTTTCCTACTATATTCTGCTAGCTAGCATTAAAAAAATCTGTCAAAGCTAGAGTTAGAAAAAAAAGTTTTTTCCTTGATAGTGGAAAAAACTGTAAAACTATTTTTTTTCTCACTTGTTGTGCACTTTATTTCTCCTCCCCCCATTTCTTCTTGTATTTAGGGCACTTCTGAGCATACCCAGTGATGATGAGAAGTTATTCCTGGCTCTGCACTCAGGACTTACTCCTGAGATGGTGCTCAGGGGAACTTATGGGATGCCAAGAATCGAACCTAGGTCACCTGAATAAAAGACAAACTCCCTATCTGTGTCCTGTTATGTGATTTCTTATTGCTACATTCCACTCCCCCCACCACCACTAGTGTTCTAGATATTGATGATCTGGGATTTGGTCTTTGCCTAGTGAGCCTAAATATCTTTAGTATCTTCAGCACCAGGCTGTCATGTTTATTTTTGTAGAAAGAGTCTGCTGAAACCTACTCATCTTAAAGCTGTCTATAATTACCAATGCCCAATAATAATAAAAAGGAAAAATTCATATTTAAAAATTATTAAGATTATGTCTTTCATGAAATTAGTTTCATGAAAGAATTACTAACAATTCAGATGACTGTGTGACATCTATATATGATTTACTAGTTGAAATGAATTCACCTGATTCTTATAAGCATATGTCAGCTTTTCAAGCAATAGTTTCCAGCATGTGCCTCAGTATATTTAGTACATTAGTTCATTACAATCCCTACTTCCTTCTTTATTTCAAAAACTCCCTCAGAATTAACTAAATGTTCAAAGAGTTACTTGTAAAACATTGTATACTATACAATCGTAGCTTGGAGCAATAGCACAGCAAGTAGGGCACTTGCCTTACACTGGGCCAACCCAGGTTCGATTCCTCTGTCCCTCTCCAAGAGCCCAACAAGCTACTGAGAGTATCCCACCTGCATTGCAGAGCCTGGCAAGCTCCCCGTGGAGTATTCCATATGCCAAAAAAAAAAGTAACAACAAGTCTCACAATGGAGACAGTTACTGGTGTCCGCTCAAGCAAACCGATGAACAATGGGAGGACAGTGCTACAGTGCAGTGCTATAATGCTTAAAAAAAAAATCACAAAATGTTAAAATGTTTAAAGGAGTTAGAAAACAATGTAACAATGTAAAAATCAATGATAATGTTTGATTGGGTTAAAGTATATTCTATACTTGTATAGATGTTGTCTATATAAAAATTCTAACAAGATGTATAATATATTATTGAAAGTGACAGCCTTAGGGGAATAGGATTGAAGAGCTGAGTGAGACTTGCAATTCTATCCCATAGATCGAGATATCATTTAAGTGTTTTAGTGTATATCACAGTCCTCCCGTTGTTCATCGATTTGCTCGAGCGGACTCAGTAACGTCTCCATCGTAAGATTTGGTTGTTACTGTGTTTGGCATATCGAATATGTCACGGGGAGCTTGCCAGGCTTTGCTGTGCGGGCGAGATACTCTCGGTAGCTTGCCGGGCTCTCTGAGAGGAGCGGAGGAATCGAACTCGGGTCGACCATGTTGGCTGCGTGCAAGGCAAATGTCCTACCTGCTGTGCTATCGCTCCAGACCTTTAGTGTATATAATTTCTAAAAATTAAAAATAATTATATTAGAAAAATAGAACTAGCTGGTAAAGGAAACTACTAATTAAGGAGAACCAAGGAGCAAACAAGAGGATTGGTTATTAACCCAGTTTCTCAGGGCACACTGCCTACATTTAACCTGTTTCCAATTCCTCTGTGAGAGTTCAACATTAGCTTTCTTATCTATTACCAGGAAACAACCACTATTATTATTCCCATTGGATTTTGTGGAAGATGAAAGCACTGAAAACACTGTCACACAGTAAAGACACACTGAAAAAAATTTTTAATTAAAAAAAATGTGCAGGTTTCCCAAGCAATCCTTAGGGGGTCAAGGGGCCACCCCTGGAGATTCTCAGCAATTGGGCAAGTGATTCAAATGTGGGATCTCAGGATGTGGTGATGCTTGGGTCCTGCAATGCAGAGGACTATTTGCGCCACCCCAGAGGTGCTCCAAAGCACTTGGGCCTCAGAGTGCTCCACTGTTTCCAGTGATGCTTATGGAACCATGTGGCTCAGGGAGCTGAATCTAGGTCAGCTTCATACAGGTCAGCTTCATACCTTAACTCCTGTGCTGCGTCTCTACACTTACTATTTCTAGGAAATCTATTGAGTCAGTAAGTGTTTGGTCTTCAAGATCAAGAGGCAATATTGGCATTTTAAAGGCACAAAAGTTTTGGAAAGGATGGACATAGTGATTTGCACCAAGTCTCAGAAGACTTGTATCACCAAACTTTGGGGTCATATAAAATTGATATTGAATCTTGGGTTTGGCCAATGTGTGATATTTGCTGAGCAACTGCACCTCAATTTTCTATGTAATACTGGAGGATAACATTAATCTCGTTGAGTGAAGCTTAGAAAAACAAATGCAGTTACATATAAATAAATGTGACATACACCTTAAGACAATGTATCTTTGTTTCATTACCCAAAGCTAGCAAACTAGAGACAATAAGCTGAATGATAGTATTTAGAAGTATATCTAATGAAAGGATAGAGCTAATGAATACATGGATTTAAAGAAGATTAAAAAGATGAAGAATCTGGACTGGTGGGCCTCAAAATGTTCCTCTCCAGTTTAAGCTTCATCTTTTCCTAGCTGACTTTTTTTACATAGCATGGTTGTGCCATGTAGCACTGTAGCACTGTCCTCCCGTTGTTCATCAATTTGCTCGAGCGGACACCAGTAACATGTCCACTGTGAGACTTGTTGTTACTGTTTTTGGCCTATCGAATATGCCACGGGGACCTTGCCAGGCTCTGTGATGCAGGCGGGATACTCTTGGTAGCTTGCCGGGCTCTTTGAGAGGGACAGAGGAATCGAACCCCAGTCAGCTGCATGCAAGGCAAACGCCCTACCCACTGAGTTAAGGATATAATATTTAGCAGGTCACTAGACTTGTTTCTTTCTTCTATAAAGTTTAGGGGATATAGGTACTCAGTTAGGGATACTTTTAGAACACAGGGGCACAAAGCACAGACTTCACTTTCATTAACCTGGCAGAGAGCATGAACTGATGCCAGCTCTCAAGGCTGTTTTCAGGTCAGGGCCAATTTAAAGATTAAAAGAGAATGCACATAAAAAGCATGACACATGTATACAATGGGTCCCCAAGAGCCAACACCATTGTAAAAACATGACCTTCCCTATGATAAATTAAAAAGAAAAAGCTGGGCACAGAGCTTGGCATCTAGAGAGCTTCCAAAAAATATTATGATTATTACTCTTCTGCCACTTCTTACATTATGAATGGCTATGGTCCAAAGAAACCAGGCATACATGCTTTCATCCTGGTAATGACACATCAAAACGAAGACACCAAGAGATACTGGGGTCATTAATCACAGGTCCAGCTGGGAAGAAAAGCTTTCTGGAACAAACCGTCCTGTCCAGAAGCGATGGAGGACAGCCTCACCCCCAGGGAGTGGCAGGTGCTGGCTCCCCTCACACAGTCCAGTCAGGGGGACCACACACATGGAGACAGCAGCCCTGAGTTGAATCTATCAGTGGTTCATCGCACAACGTAGTACTGCAATTAATAATGCCCTGGCCTGGAATGCCATCTTTTTTTGTCAAGCGTTCAAAGCTATCTGGAAAGTCCAAACTCATTCGCGTTTGGACTTCCAAAAGGGATTGAGCTGGTCAGACATTACCTTAAAGAGACAAGGACATTCAATTGAGAAAAAAAGAGTTATGGCATCTTTGCTACACCCCTTGTCAAGGGGGAGAAAGGGTTGTAAGGCACGAGAGATCGCTGAGGCCGAGCGCCCTAGCCTTGGAAACATCTGGAAAGAAGAAAGTGCCTCAGACAGGAAGTGGCTCCTTGCATCCCCACCTGCCTCCTGGACTTGGGGGTTAGCTGCCAGGCTCACCTGTCGCTGAACTGAACCGCTTCTCCGTTCCTCGTCCAGCTAATCGTGGGCCTCGGGTTGCCGATGGCCTCGCAGTGCAGAAGCACACTCAGGGTGCCGCTGGCCAGAGCCACCGTCTGCCCGAGGTGGGTGACCACCTCCGAGGCCGAGAGCTGCTGGGCCGCGGAGATCTTGCGCAGGATGGTGGGTTTGCGCTGGGGCCGCCGCCCGCTGCCTGCCCCCTCCCCAGAGGCCAACGTGCGCAAGGCGCTGCTGAAGCTGGACACCAGCTTATGAGGGGAGACGGGCACGGGCGGCCCGCGCCGCTCCGACGGCTTGAGGAGCACGTCTGGTTGCTCCAGGTGGCTGCGGAAGATGTCCTGGGCCAGCTGGGCGACCAGGTGCTTGCTGTAGACGTCGCGCAACTCCTCGGGCTGCTGCGACAGATTGCGCAGGATGTCATCCAGGCGCTTCTGCTCGGTCACCAGGGTGAAGGGCAGGTGCAGCAAGGCCTGCTCGGTGTTCTGGTCTTCCTCGGAGGATACGTTCCTCTCTGTGGAGTCCTGCACCTCCCAGGAGGCCAGGAGCTCCCCGGGCCAGCCGCCCTGCTCCAGCAGCCGGGACACCAGGTCGTCGTAGCGGTTCCCAGCGTCGGCGGCGAGGCCGCGCTTCTCGGGCTTGCTGCCGTTGGAGAAGATTGCATTCTGGTGCTTGTGCGGCTGCAGGGCCTCCTCCTTCGGGTGCCCCTTGCGCCCCACCGGGGCCTCATCTTCACCCCGCGGGCTCACAGGCCGGGACACGAGCTTGCGGTTGCCGCCAATGAGCTTGATGACGAACTGCTCCCGGGCCGGCCCCGCAGAGCAGGTGTAGATGCCCGCGTCCGAGGGCTTGAGGCGGTGGATCTTCAGGTAGCCAAACGGGGCCACGGTGACGTGAGCCGAGCTGATGAGGTGCTGGCCGTCTTTCTCCCAGGTGATGAGCGGCTTGCGGAAGCGCCGCGTGGGACAGCGCAGCACCACCGAGGTCTTGGGGAGCAGGTAGGCGAAGCCTCCCACGACGAAGTGCAGCTTCCTCTGTCTGCGCGTCTGGATGTAGACCCTCCTCACGGCCGCGATGTGGGGGCTGTGCTTTGTGGATGGGCGACCGGGCCCTGGAGAGAAAGGAGAGGCCATTGGGAGCGGTGAGATGCAGCCTTAAGCAGGAGGGAGAAGAAGAGCGTGGAGAGGAAGAGGGAAGAGGAGAAGCGGGGGGGGGGGGGAGGGGAAGAGGAGAGAGAGTGGGTGGGGGGGGGGCGGGAGGGAAGAGAGGGAGAGGAAAGAACCATGCAATAGTGATGGAGGAACTGGTATAGTAGCTCTGCAACTGTAGAATGATGACTTAATAATATTATACACTATGATATTTCAATAAAACATTTTAAATAATAAAATAAATCAGGACCACAGGAAAGAAGAGAAAGGAAGCACCACAGAGTTGGTTCTGGTCAGGACGTTCTCATTTTACCAGAAGGAGCTGGCTACCAGCTGAGGCCCATCAAGATACTGCCACCGCTAAAATCTCAGCTAATGAGGTGCAGCAGGTCAGCCTGCTCTCACCCTGCTGGAGCTTTCTGCCTCTGGAAGCTAAGATCCAGGATTCTGGGTGGAGGGGCATGCCCAGGGAAAGGCGGTGCTACTCATTACAAGGATTAAAATAGAAAGAAGGAAAGAAAGGGGCATTATAAAGAGACGGAGGACAAAGGGAAGACGAATGTCTGTCTCCATTTCAATACTTACACTCTGGGTCCAGCAGAGCACCAGGGCCAGAGCTTAGGTAGGCAGTAGAGCCCAGAAGTGTTACAACCCCGGGGATTAATATTAAACAGAACAAATCTGTTTAGAGTAGTTTAAAACCCCAAAGTGAATAGCATGAGACTTCATTAGTAATAGGCCGCCTCTAGCTTCCAGATCTCTGATTGCCAGCAAGTGGACTTTGCTCTACCCCCCGCAAACTCCTTTTCCACTGGAGAAGAGAATTCTGCTTGGACCACATGTAATTAAGATTCCTTTTCCATCTCCAGCTGAGTTCTCCAGCCTGCTGCCTCCCATGCTCTTTATTGCCCAACAATCTCCCACTGGTCTTGGGTTTAGGGACGGCTACTGCTAGGACTGTTTCTGTGCGAGTTCATCTCCCCATTCCCTTGATGCTTTACTACTCACTTGCGCAGGTTGCCAGCATACAGGGCCTGATGGATGAGGAGAAAGGCAGTGGAGGGCACAAGGAGGAATTGACAATAGCAGAGACTCCGGTTTTCAGCACCTTTTGACAAACAGCACTTCGAGTCTGGGTGCCCTCTCCACAGCTTGTGGAACACTGATGAAAGAAAGACCAAACTTAGGTAAATATGAAGAAATAGAGGACAAAGGGCCTTCTACTTAAGTAGCAAGTTAAACTCTGAGTTTGTTTTTATTTCTTATGCTTATTTTAAAAGAGATGGGAATTAAATGTGACAATACATTTTAGGAGCCACAGAAATAATGTCAATTTCTTTCTTCTACCACAAAAAATTGATATTTTAAAGTCAAGTAAACTATAATTGTTATGCATCTATTTTGAGATGGGGTGCTATGAGCTATGAAAAAAAAGAGGCATGCAAGATGTTCCTCATTTCAATGAACTGCCGTCAAATGTGGACAAAAATGACAAAAATACAGTTAACATGAACAGTATATTAGAAACATAAAAAACAAAGTGAGATAGCATTTCATAAACACATTATGGTCATAATAAAGAAGGTGATAATAAGTGTTATTGTAAATGAGAACGTTGGTGAAACACTGTAAAATGGTACAGTTTAAGACAGTTTCTTAACAAGTTAAAAATATATTTACCATGTGACCCAATCTCACCCTACCAATCTGAATCCTTCAAGGAGCCACTAAAATATATATACATATAAAGACTTGTGTAAGAATATTTATGATCAACATTATTCATAGTAGACAAAAAAATTGAAACAAGCCAAATGTTCACCAGTGGGTGAATGGATCAGCAAAATGTGGCATCACTATATAATGGAAAATTATTCTGACATAAGCAAAGAAGTGCAATTCTGATATATTGTATAACATGGATAAACCTTGATATTATTCTCAGTTCAGCTTATCGATACACATCTCAATAAAGCTGCAAGAGAACTAGTAGTATAAGAATTTAGTGAAAAATAACTGAAAGACAAATGAACTCTTTAAAAATAAATGCTAATATAAAACACACCCTGAAACATGATCAATAGAACTGGAAACTGTGGAAACTGCAGGAGAGAGAAAGAACCATGGGATGGTGGTGGAGGGACTGGTATGATAGCTCTGCAACTGTGGAATGATGACTTCAATCGTGTTATTAACTGTAATAGCACTGTAGCACTGTCCTCCCATTGTTCATCAATTTGCTCGAGCGGGCACCAGTAACATCGCCATTGTGAGATTTGTTACTATTTTTGGCATATCAAATACGCCATGAGGAGCTTGCCAGGCTCTGCCATATGGGCGGGATACTCTTGGTAGCTTGCTGGGCTCTCTGAGAGAGACAGAGGCATCGAACCAGGGTCGGCTGTGTGCAAGGCAAACCCCCTACCCACTGTACCTGCTGTCCTATTGCTCCAGCCCATAAACTATAATACTTCAATAAAATATTTTAAATAATAAAATAAAACCAATGTTAATAATGGTTGAGTACTGATGGTACACTATTGATCCACCTGACTTAGTTCTTCAAGATGGGTAGAGTCCGAATGTATAGACAAGGGACAAGCATGGGAGACAGAGAAACATGCAGATCAAGACAGAAAAGTAGACACAGAAGCCCAAGGTTGTGGGGGTTGGGGGAGGGATGGTAGACTAAAGCAATTTAAACCAAGGACTAAGTTTAGAGTGGCAGGAGCTTAAAAGGTAGTGAGGGGCCAGACATTGGAGACTTAATTTTCAGACAGGAGTTTTGGAGTTGGGCCATAAGGCAATGAGGAACTATTGGAGGGAGGAGTAAAATGATGAAAGAGGTGTTTTGAGAAGGTTAATCTGGCAACAGTGTCGGAGAGAGATGGGAGGAGAAGATGGATGAGAGGCAGGTATGTCAGTTAAGGAGGCTGCCACGGTAGTCTAGGCTTCAGATGATAACGGCCTGAACTACGGTCATGGCAGTTTGCCACGTTAACTTGAAAAATGACAGTAAAACTGAAAAAATATTATCTTATATTTTTAAGTTTTATAAGCTAGCCCACTGAAACAAATGATCCCATGCAAAGTGCTGTGATATATGCCACACGGAAAGAAAGTGAAGCTATTTAAAAAATAGGGATATGACTTAAATTCATTGCTTTTATGCCTTGATGATGGTGGATGCAGATTCTACCCATTGCTTATTTTATTATAAATAACAGCACCAAATCCAGGGATCAGGTAAAATGGAGGTAAAGAGCCAGGAAACTTTAAAAGACTGGCTATTTTAGTGCTGCTAATACAAAAATAGAAAAATAGACTGTGCCAGAGATTGGTCTATGATTTTCTCAAGTCTAGTTCTTTTTTCAAGACTCAGTTTTAATTTTTCTAAAATATGGAAACTAGAGTTTAGCCTCAGGCTAGGATTAGGGTTAGGTTTGTGGGGGTTTCAAGTGTTCTTTCTCAAATATGGAAGCAAAGTGTAGAAATATTAAAATTTGAAAATTGATCATTTTGGGCATCAGTAAAGGCCAGATTTACTATGGGTTAGAATTAGGGTTTGGGTGAAATTCAGGGATTTTGAAGGGTTTGGGTGTTAAGATTTGCTGTGTTCAGAGATGAAAAGGGAAGTGAAGTATTGGGAGATGGTTCTTTTGGGTTTATTGGTAGGTTTATATTTCTGCTTGGTTCAGACTTCATATTTTGATAAGATTAGCCTCAGGCTAGGGTTAAGGTTAAGTTTGTAGAGATTTCAGATGTTAGAATTTCTGAGAAAAATGAAAGTAAGGTGAAATATTATTAAATTTTACAAGCATGGTCATTTTGGACTTCAGTAAGGGTCAGGTTTACTATGGGTTAGGGTTGGGATTAAGGCTAGGGTTAGGATTAGGGATGATGTACGGGTTAGTTGAAAAGTATTGCTATGTTCCAATTAAAAAACAACCTAGTAAAATTAGATAATTGCTAAAATTGTGCTAATTACAAGGTTTATGCCTCTGCTTTAATCAGCTTTTTATTATAATTGGATTGTCCTGGGGCTAGGGTAAAGGTTAGGTTTACAGAGGTTTCAGGTATTAGTTCTTTCGGTGTTCGGTGTTCATATCAAAAGTAAAAAGTATAAAAACTTCATTAAATTGTGGAAATTGGTAGCTCTGGGAATCAGGAAGGGTCATGTTTATTATAGGTTAGGGTTAGAATTAGGAGTAGAGCTAGCATTTGGGTTAGGGTTTGTGTAGGATTTAGATATGAAGTATTTCTGTGATCTAAGATCGAAAGGAAAATGAAGTATTGGGCAATTGTTGAATTTGGGTTAATTGGTAGGTTTATTCATCCTCAGGTCAGGCTGAGTATGATAGGATTAGCCTCAGACTAGGGTTAGGGTTGGGTTTGTGGGGGTTTCTGGTGTTAGCTTTTACTGTGAACATTCTAGACTATGGAAGTTAAGAATAAAAATAGGGAGTTTTGGGCACCATTCAAGATGGGACTTCTGATAAATTAGAGTTAGGATTAGGTCTACAGTTAGGGTTAGGGATTGTGTAGGGTTTAGGTGTTAGGTGTTATGTTCCAAGATAAAAAGGGAAGTGAAGTATTGTGCAATTGCTAAATTGAGATAATTGGTAGTTTTATGTCTCTGCTTGGGTCATGATGAATAAAATGATAGAATTAGCCTTAGGCTAGTATTAGGATCAGGTCTGGTGTTAGTTTTTTCTGTGTTCATTCTAAAATAAGAATGTTAAAGATAGAGCATTAAGTTTATCAAAATTGGTAGTTTTTGGCATCAGTTAATTTCAGGTTTATTTTAAGGTAGAGTTAATATTAGAAATAGTGCTAGGGTTTAGGGTTGTGGATTGTGTAGGGTATTTTTGTGATCAAAGATAAAAATGGGAGTGAAATATTGGGTAATTGTTAAATTTGGGTGAATTGCTAAATTTATATATCTTCTTGGGTCAGGCTTCTTATTTTGATAAAATTAGCTTCAGTCTAGAGTTATGGTTATGTTTGTGGAGGTTTCAAGCGTTACCTTTTTCTGTGTTCATTCTCCAAAATGAAACTATGGAAAATTCATTAAATTGTGGAAAACTCAGGTTTTGGCATCAGTACGGTTTAGGCTTACTATGAGTTAGGGTTAGAATTAGGATTAAGGCTGGAGTTATGGTTAGGGATTTTATAGTGTTCAGGTGTTAAGTATTCTTGTGTTCCAAGATAAAAAGGAAAATGAAATATCGGGAGTTGATTAAATTTGAGATAATTGATAGGTTTATATTTCTGCTTTGGTTGAGGCTTAACATTATAATATAATTAGACTAGAGTTAGGGTTAGAATTGTGGAATTTTCAAGTGTTTGGTTTTTCTGGTTTTTTTTTTCTAAAAAATAATATAGATATATTGTTAAATTTTGGAAAATGGTAGTTTTAGTCAGTAAATACCAGGTTTACTCTGGGTTAGGGTTAGTGTTAGGATTAAGATTTAGGGTTAGAAATTGTATAGTATTCAGGTGTTCAGTAGTGTTGTACCCCAAAATAAAAAGGGAGCCGAATTATTGAATTTGTGCTAATTGGTAGGTTTATGCCTCTGCTTGGATCATTCTGAGTAAAATGATAGGACTAGCCTCAGGCTAAGGTTAGGGTTAGGTTTCTGGAGATTTCAGGTTTTAGCTTTTTATGTGTTTATTCTAAAATATGAAGGTAAAGTACAGAAAGATCTTTAAATTTATGAATATTGGTAGTATTTGGGATCAATAAAGGTCAGGCTTACTATCTGTTAGGGTTAGCATTAGAAATAGGGCTAGGTTTATAGGAATTCTTGACAGGTTAGATGTTAAGTAGATAGCACAGCAGTAGGGTGTTTGCCTTGCGTGCAGCCAGCCTGGCCCAGCCGGGTTTGATTCCTCCACCCACCTCGGAGCGCCTGGGATTAAGCCTAGGGTTAGGGATAGGGATTTCGTGGATTTTAGGTGCTAACAATTTCTGTTTTATATGATAAAAAGCGAAGTAAAGTATTGAATAATCGTTTAATTTTCATCAATTGGTAAATTTATGCCTCTGCTTGGATTAGGCTGAGTAAAATAACATTGAACTCTGTAAAATTAGTATTTTTGGCATCAGTAAAGGTTAGTCTTGCTATAGATTTAGGGTTAAGATTAGGATTGGGGCTAGGCTTAGGTTTAGGGATTATGTTAGGTTTAGGTATTGGATTTTGCTGTATTCTAGGATAAAAAGGAGTGTGGGTTATTGTTAAATTTAGACTAAGTGGTAGGTTTGTGCCTCTGCTTGGTTCAGACTGAGTTTAATGATAGGATTAGCCCAAGGTTAGCATTAAGGTTAGGTTTGTGGAGGACCAAGGTATTAGTTGTTTACTTCCTCAGTATAGAAACACTGTAAAATTTAGGGAAATTGGCATTTTCTGACATGAGTAAGGGTGAAGTTTACTATGGATTAGAGTTATGATAAAGATAAGGGATAGAATTGAATTAGGGAATTGTGTAAGGCTTGGTATTACTGTGTACCAATATTAAAAGTAAAGAGAAAGATTGGGCAATTGTTAAATTTGGGCTAGTTGGTAGGTTTATTCTGCTACTTGGGTCAGGCTGAGTATAACCATAGGATTATCTTCAGAATTAGTGTTAGGATTAGGTATGTGAAGGTTTCGGGTGTTTACTTCTTTCTTTCAGGTGTTTCAAATATGAAATTACCTGTAGAAAGTTCATTGAATTGTAGGGATTACCTATCATTTCTCTAACCATGTTGGAGAACTGATCAATGTATTTCTTAAGTGATTTGGAGATGGAAGCATTGGCAATCTGGACCTTCACCACACTTAACCAAAGCAATGCTTATCTGATCTATTTCAGATTTGTATTTCATTGTAACATTTTAGTTCAAAATAAAAGGGATCGTGTGGATTTAATATTTTAAATTTTATTTTATAAAGTAGTTCACAATATTTGATTACATTTAATATTCAAACACCAATCTCACCACCATTACATTTTCCCACCACCATATTTCAGATGTTTCTATCCTGAACCTGTGGATTTAATTTTTTAAAGAAATCCAACTAGGTTATTGAATCTTCTGAATTCCTTTGAGCTCTGAAATTAACTACTTTGACTTTAATTTTGTTTATATATTTTAAAGGTGGTGACAATATCCATAAACATAGACCCTAAAATGCTTATTATTACCTTATTCAGGCGATAGAAGGGTTTCTTTTAGAGAAAAGGGCTAAGGCCCTTTTGAGAGGTTTTACTCTCAGAACAGAATCTGAAAGTAATTTTATTTGAAGTATCTAAAACTTTGGCTTAATTCTCTCCCTGAGGGATTCTGTGCAGTAACCAAGAGATTGAGCCCAGAAAGTTAAGGATTAAAAAACACCCATAGATCATTGATGTCTTCCTTTCTCCAGGGGAGTCTTGTGGGGGGTGTGGAATGCATGTCTCATCTTAGCCAGAGAGCAAAGAGACGCTGCTGAAATGACAGAGCCAATGTGGGGCCTTGGAGAACATTCCCAGGAGTGCTTTTGCATAGCTTCAGCTTGAGTTTAATCCCAACAAATCACTGATTACTTTCCACCTTTCCCAGACCCTGCCCATGTTTGTGATTTCCATTCATCAATTCTGGTAACTCAGAACATTCTGGCAGAATGGCTAACTCCTCCATTTTATCCAAATGTAATTGCTTCTTCACAGGAAAACCAAAAAGCCTATGGCTGGCCTGGGCCATGACCCTGGATGCAACCAGTTAAGGTAAGTGCTCTTTATTCCCACTCTTCCCAACAATGGGCAGGGGTAAAAGAGAATCATAGCAATAATAAGGATTAACTTTTATTAGTAACCAATGATTCTCTCTACATCCTTTAGTACAAGTCACCAAATAACCTTATAAAGTGAACACTTTCCACTGCAGCGTATAGGGACTGATAAGTAGCTATCACAAGGATATTGTGGTAGAAAGTCAACAGTCAGGATTAGAACCTAAGATTTTCTGTTCTAGAGCCTGAATTGATACATAAGACTGCTCTAAAGTATGTTTTACTTAATGGGATTTCAGCACTTCAGTCTCCTTTGCATCATTCTAATTTCAGAGTCCCTCCTTCCAATAAATAAACTAAAAAAGGCACTTTTTTTTTTCTTTTTGGGTCACACCTAGCAATACACAGGGGTTCCTCCTGGCTCTGGACTCAGAAATTACTCCTGCAGTGCTCAGGGGATCATATGGGATGCTGGAAATTGAACCTGGGTCAGCCACGTGCAAGGCAAACACCCTACCTGTTGTGTTATCACTCCAGCCCCTAAAAAAGGCACTTTCAAAAATAAATTCTTTGTATTTTACATATGCTCAGAGATAAACTTTAGGATGAGCACATGGAAAAAAAATTATAGTGCACACAAGTCCTCTCCTTAGCACCTCACTCATGAAAGACAGTAACTGAGAAACTAGAGGGTGATACCCTTTCTAACACTCCCTTGGGAGAAGATCTTCAATAGTTTACTTGGTAAATATATCTGGGCCCCTTACTACACCATTATTTTGTGATTTTTTTTTCATGTCTACCACTATATCCCAAATCATTATTCCTTGGAATTTTCCACATTTCATGGAAACATTATATAGTCATACATGCACACAAACTAATGTGTTCATACACGTACACAAACACACATGGACATGTACTAATTCCACATACTTAATCCTGATGAAATAAACATTGGTTTTAAAATGTAAAAAAGAGAATCATTCCCTATCTTTTATGAAACATTTGAGGAGGAGTGCCACAAGAAGGCAATTACACTCCCAAATGACAAAACATTTACTAATGAAGGTAACTCTCAATTGCAATGCCCTGGGCAAGGTCATCAGAAGGTACTTCATATGAACTGATAAAATATGGAGCAAGAATTAAGGGGCCAGAGAAATGACAATACAGGGAGTTAAGTAATTCTTGGCATGCATTCAACACAGGTTCTATACTGGACAGCACCTATGGTCCCCCCTGAGTCTCACCAGAAGTGATCCCTGAGCATAAAACTATTCTGAGCACCACTGGGTGTTGGCTCTAAAAACAAAAAACAAAACAAATTTATATTAAAAAAAAAACTTATGATACTGAAAGAGGTCATGTCTTCATTTTCAGAGGCCACTTTCCTCATAGTGGAGGCAAGTCTAATTTATATGTTCTCAAGCAGCTAGAAGTTTTGCTGTATGAGCTGAATATTACTATACAAAGAAGGAAGCAGGACAGTGAGTCCAATTAATACACTTATGTGAAGAGGTGCCTTGGGACTCATTTTGACACTTCAGATTTTGACTAAATCTGGATATGAAGCAATAATGGGGGTGGGGGGCTTCTGGATGAACTACATGAGTCTGTGCAGGAAGACACATTGATGTATGGGAGAAATTTTAGGCATAGCAAAGTAGTGATAGTGACTGAAAACAAGTAAATGGATGCTGAGTACATGTGAATGAATTTGAGCTAATCTTAGAATTATCATAAAAAGCAGGTTAGTTGGGGTACAGTCCTTATTTATGAGGTAAAGTGAGGAATAGTGCACGCTGATACATCGTTTCCCCCAATGCGAGGCGGCAAGGGAAATCAAGTTCTCATGCTGGGAAGTTGCTGAAGTTTGGGAGCCAGGAAACTGACAGGAAAGAGGCAGGATTTCCTTGGCCTTCTTGTCCTAATAAATCATGTTGCTTATTGTCCAGTACTTGGAAGAGAAGACCTGCAGAGGCTTTGTCTTGCCTGAGTAGAGACCAGAAACATCTGGGAGTAGGAGGTGCAGGGAGGTCAGGAAGTGGGGGAGGGGGGTGTTGGAGAGAGGCAGGGAATCACCCAGTGCTCTGAGAAGAATCCAGGGCCCTAAGGGCATGAACAATGCCCGGTTTTGGTTCACAGGAACATTTCTAATTCCACACTTTGTACTGTAAGTAAAGTCTGGCTCCCAATTCATGTGTTTGCAGTCTTGTTGAAAGCTAGTGACACCTGTGGTATACATAGATAAGAAAAGCTCCATTCCATGAAGTTAGGCTTATTTCTGTTGTCTTGGGGGCATTCTTGGGTGCCCTTTTTTACTACTGTAGGCTCCTTTCTGAAGACGATGCCTACCTCTGACCAGTCGGAGAGAATCCACTCACTGGGACAGTCATCTTTTTTGCAGCCTTGCTGGGAGGTCAGTTTTGAGGATGAACAGAAGGTCTCAGGAAGTTCCAGAAAGCTGCCATCAGCCATGCGTTGTTTGCAAAGAACCTCACGCTTCTGAATGCCCCCACCACAGGTTCTGGAACACTGAAAAGGAAGAAAGAGAAAATCAACCCCAAAGAGGAAATTTGTTATGTTTTACTACCAATTCTAACCTCTGCCTTGACTGAATAAAAAGTGAAAAAAAAAGTTTGAAACAGAAAACCAGGAACCAGTCCAAAGGATTTTCCTTCCTTTTCTTGAAAAGAGTTTTGAAGCAAGATCTACAACCTGCACTCTTAAAAATTTAAGTAAAGTATTCAGGAATTTCAAGGTCCTTTAAATCTCAGAGTTGCTTCTAAACTATGATTTGTAGACACCCATGAGCAGTGGTTTAAAAGGTTAGTATAAAAAGTTAAAATAATAGAACGTCAAACATATTTATAATCTAGTGAAAATAATCTGTGCCTAATTGACTGAACAACTGTGAGACTGCTGCCATCCATGTCAATCTGAAGCAATTAATCTGCAGAGAAGGCAGCCCTTTCTTTCCAAATGTAAAAACCCATTTACTACATGAGAGGGGTATTTGATTTCTGAAGACCTCTCCTAGGACACTTTTGTTGTGATTCATGAATTGAGCAGTGGAAGCAAGAACCACTCAAATTTGTGATACAAGAAAACTAATCTCACCTTAGTGACTTTCAGTAGAACCCCAATCAAACACAATGTTTATACATAACTAACTAGCTACACTTCAGTTTCATGTGTGTATATGGGGGGATGGTGATGAGGTACTTGGGGTGGATGCGATAGCACAGATTGTTGATTTGTTCCAAGAATGTATCTATGTATCTACTCTCTTTCAATAGCAAGAGAACCCCTTATTTTTATCTGGACATATGATTTTTCAGCATACAGACTGTATCCATGAATGTCCCTGGAGGACAGGCATGGCCATGTGCTGAAGCACTGGTCAATGACATGTACATGAAAGGGTTGTGTACAATTTTAGGGAAACTGAAGACTGGGCAAGGAAGACAAAGTCAACCCAAAGTGCCACAACGTGTGGCACTTTCTCCTTCCTTTTTCTTGATGGCTGGAAAATAAAATTATATAATTTTATTTAAACTACAATTTAAACATTCATCTTCCATCTTGACCTGTGAGAGACAGCATGCTAGAAGCAACTCTACACTTTATTTTACCCATATTTTTCTATATCCAGCTGTGTTCAGACCTTACTCCTTGTTCTGCACTCAGGGATCACTTCTGGTGGGCTCACTTCAAGGACCATTTGAAGTGCCAGATTGGCTTCGTGCAAGACTACTGTTTCAGCCTTACATCAAAATGGCCCTTGAGGGCTTATATTTCCAACTGAAAGAGGAATACTGTTTTATCTCACTTAGCAATTGTGATGAATCTTTAAGCCATTTGGTTAGATCTGATATTAGCTAACCCATCAACCTATGACTGCCATGAAAATTCCTAGGAGCAGTGCTTTTGTCAAGAGTTTTCTCTTTCCAAAACAGACTGTCCTTGACCTAGAAGGAAATCAGGCCTGGGCATACAAAGCTGAGAGTCTGTGGTGCAGAAGCTGTTTCTACTACAGCAGTGACTTCTCTGCACTTCAATGTCTCAGTGGGTTGTACTGAGAATTAAAAGGGACATTTGTGCCTAATTAAGATTAAAATGAAGACAGAGTTCTTAATCGGGTCAAAATACAGAGTTGGCCCAGAGATCACTCTCCTACTCAATACAAACAGTATAATTTTGAGTGGACATACCAAAATATTCTGGGAGCTTGTATTTATTTTTTGGTACTTTTGGTTTTGTTTGAGGCCATACCCAGTGGTGCTCAGAGAATCACGTGGTGCCAGGAATTGAATCCAGACCTACTACACAGAAAGTACTAACTCAGTCTGTTGAGCTTCAAAAGCAGCAGTGAACTACTTTTGATTAGTGTTTTCAATTATTTCTGCAATGCATCCAGGTTTGTTAAAAATAGTTTTTTTGTTTTGGGGGATTTTTTGGTTTGTTTTAAGGCTATACCTGGTGATGTTCAGGGGTTACTTGTGGTTCTGCTCTCAAGAATTACTCCTGGCGGTGCACAAGGGACCATATGGAATGCCAGAATTGAATGTTAATTGATTGATCCTGTGAAAGGCAATCACTCTACCAACCATACTATCTCTCCAGCCCCTAAAATGTATTTTTCCATCATTGGAGTCAATTATGTACATTTATTGAATAAAAGAAGGCTAGTAGTAAAAGATGAAACACCACCCTATGAGGTGGGCCTTACTCCTTATTACAGAGAAAAAAGCTGAAACTACAGGGTGAAGTAAGTCAAATAAAATTGTAAAGAGTTGATTTCAGTTAAGTGCCAAATTCACCAAGAGCCCACCAAGCATATGCTGTGAGTTAGGGGCGCTAAGCACTGCTGCAGAATAAGTAGAAGCTCACTTCTTTCTCCTGTGCCTGTTGGAACACTCCTCTGCTTGCAGAATGAGTGGGGGATTCTTTCGCAGCTGTGACTTGCTGAATGTTCCAGGCCTTGCAAACTCCAAGCCAACTCTTCCCTTAAAGCCTGGGTTCATCCTTTTATCTCATGGGAGAACTATTACCTCATAATTCAATGCCTGTTTACTATGATCACCCTGACTAGCAGGAACTGGATCATACTTCATGTTAGGTACCAATATTCTAAAATAGGTCATCTATACTGTGGTGGCCTTGGAAATGTGTTTCTTCTCAGTCCCTGGACTCCTGAAGCAATGGCTTCAGAACTTCGGTCTGGGCCATGAAGCTCAGTACAGACTATCTGCAGTGAATGGTGTGACTCATCACTCTTCTCAGCAGTTTCTTTCAAGGGATCCTCTAGTATGCCGTTGAACCTTGACTATGGAAAAATTTGTGGCCCAGCACTAACAATTTAAGCTATGAGAGGTCCTGGTCTTGGAATCTCTGGTTTATTTCAGGAATTCCTTGACCTTTTCATTCACTGTAAAACTTTTTATTAAAGATTTTGTTTACTAGCAGTTAAATAAAACCATAATGCTTTTATTTCCCTCATGCATTTTGCACCCACAATATCTAGTTCAAGGTCTGTGTGAGACCACAGAGACTGGCACACATCAAAAAGAACAAGAACAACCACTGCTGGTGTGGATGTGGGGATAAACGGACTCTTCTTTCATTGTTGGTGGGAATGCTGACTGGTTCAACCTTTTTGGAAAACAATATGGGCATCCCTTCAAAAACTAGAAATTGAGCTTCCACATGAACCTGCAATACCACTTCTGAAAATATTTCCCAGGGATGCAAAAAAGCACAGTAAAAATGACATCTGTACCTATATGTTTATTGCAGTACTGTTCATAATAGCCCAAATCTAGAAACAACCCAAGTGCCCTAGAACAGATGACTGGTTAAAGAAACTTTGGTACATCTGCACAATGGAATACTATGCAGCTGTTAGGAGAGATGAAGTCATAAAATTTGCTTATAAGTAGATAGACATGGGGAGTATCATGCTAAGTGAAATCAGTCAGAAAGAGGGACAGACATAGAAGGTCTGCACTCATTTGTGGAGTATAGAATAATATAACATAAGGCTGATGCCCAAGGATAGTAGATACAAGGGCCAGGAGGATTGCCCCATAGCTGGAAGTCTGCCTCATGAGTGGAGGGGAGAAGGCAGATGGAATAGAGAAGGATCACTAAGAAAATGATGGCTGGAGGAATCAGTTGGGATGGAAGATGTGTGCCAAAAGTAGATAATGGACCAAACATGATGACCTCTCAGTGTCTATATTGCAAACCATAATGATCCAAAGTAAAGAGAGAATATGGAGAATATTGTTGGCCATGGAGGCGAGGGGGGGGAAGGGATATTGGGGAGATTGGTATACTGGGGAGATTGGTGGTAGGGAATGTGCACTGGTGGAGGGATGGGTATTTGATCATTGTGTGATTGTAACTCAAACATGAAAGCTTGTAACTTTCTCATGGTGATTCAATAAAATTAAAAGAAAAAAGAGAGGGACTGACACAGAATAACTGCACTCATTTGTGGAATATAAAATAAGATGATCCCCAAGGACAGTAGACACTAGGGTCAGGGATATTGCTCCATATTGGAAGCCTGCCTCATGAGCTGGGGGAGAAGGCAGCTGGAGTAGAGAAAGGATCACTAAGTCAATGACGGGTGGAGGGATCGTTCAGGATGGGAGAAGTGTGCTGAAAGTAGATAAAACAGCAAATGTGATAGCCTCTCAGTATCAATAATGCCCAAAAGTAGAGAGAGAATATGGGGGAAATTATCTTCCATAGAGGCAGGGGGAGGGTTAGAATGGGGGTGGATACTGGGGACACTGGTGGTGGAAAATGTGCACTGGTGGAGAGATGGGTATTTAATCATTGTATGACTGAATTCAAACATGAAAGCTTTGTAACTGTATCTCATGGTGATTCAATTAAAAATAATAAAACAAACAAATAGGTCTGTGTGAGTATGAATCCTCAGTAAATATTTGTGGACTGGAACTGAAGTTGGTGTTTGGGGGAAATTGGAATAAATGGTAAGAATTCTTTTAACTTTGAATATTTCTCTTTTTTATATGGATAATTAAGTGGTTTTTAAAATTAATTATTTTTAAAATCTTGGACCACACTAGTAGTGCTCTGCATTTAGGAATCACTCCTGGGGGAAGTCGGGGGACCATATGGGGTTTTGAGGATTTAACCCAAGTTGGCCACATGGAAAACAAGCCCCTTATTATCTGTATTACCACTTGGCATCCTCGCCCTACCTCTACCCCCCGCTCTTATAACCCCAGCATAACCAAGACTTTAAAGTTGGACTTAACATGATATTTTAAACTCAGTCTTCTCTTATTTCTGTCAAATTCTGCTTGTAATCAGATATAATCAGAATTCTGTCAAATTCTGCTTATATTCTATAATCAGATTAGTTTTTTGTTTATAGTGCCTCTTTAAGTCAGAACTTTTCAGACAATTAACTATGTGGATAACTGATTATGATAGATTTACAAGTTTAGACCCTGTGTTCTATGCAAATTTTCCATTCTATGAATTATTAAAAT